TGATAACAGCTAATGTGACGCAAGGCCTGTGCCGACACAGACCTGGGCAGAGAAATGGGAAAAGACCCTCATTTCTAGATGTCAAGGATTTTCCGACTCAAAAGTAAGTACTGATTTGACTCAGCACAAACCGGTGTTCTGTCACCAGAACACCGCCTTCCTCTGTCTCCTGCCTCTCCGGGGCAGAATCAGCCCCTGATGAAGGACAGTGTGTTGCTGGCTCTCAGGGCCTCCTGGTTTCCTAGTTTCTACTCAGCCACAACCTACCTAAATGACATGGGCTTGTGCCTTAGTTCCAAGCTCAGTAATTAATCAGGCCTCTCTGAAAACGAAAACAAAAACAAAAATATCCCTGGAGAATCCACCAAATGCACCCATTAGAAATGCCCTCTCAGCGTGGTCTCTCTCCTTCCCTCTGGCCTGACCCCAAGCACAGGGCCTCTGATCCAGTTCACCTTGTTTTACTCCAATGGGTTCTGGGATCTTCGGCAACTTAACCTTTCCGAGTTTCAGTTTCATTTTTTATAAGATGGGGGCAAATATAATCATTAGCCATTATTATCTCAAGAGATGCTCTTTGGGATAGAAACCTGCTGTTGCATTTTTCAAATAGTAGGTATTAGTCACTAAGTAATTTGAATAGACTTATTTTAATACCAGTCCATAGGCTGGGGCAGAGGCATGTAACCAGGCAGAGAGAACCCAGCCCTAGGAGTTCCCCGGGGCAGAGCGCAGGCTTTCAGAGGCAGAGCCCAGGTGCAGAGAGCATGCTTTCAAAGAGCCAAGTATAGAAACGCCTTTTCATCTGCAAGCAAGGGGTGAGGAGGAAGCATTCTGTTTAATTTATAAAATGTATCTCCATAACCTTGTTCCTCATAATGTGGTCCATGGACCACCTGTGTTGGAAAAACCTGGCAAAATTGCTAAAATGCAGATTCTTGGGCCCCAGCTCAGATCTCCCAGTCTAGAGACTCTGGGGGTCAAGATTCTTTTGTACCCCTAAAATTTGAAAACTGCTGACCATTGTATACTGCCAGGCCAATAGGCCAGAAGGAATTATGATATCTGGATCATATTATGCACAATATAAAATATATATCTATAAATAAAATATATACAGAGTCATGTAAAACTATTAGCTGTGGGTTTAAAATTCTATGAATAATCTAGTAATTCCACTTTAATTTAAAAATATATTTATACACACTGTATGGCCATGCTTAGGACAAGGACTGGGCGCACATGCATCCCAGCTGCAAAGGTTATGTCTAGCTGGTAATGTTTTGTGTGATTTGGCTCATTTTGTGCTTTCATAATTATTTAACAATGTCCTACAATGAGTTCTATTACCTTTTTAACAAGAAAAAAAATGTGCTTTTAAAATAAAAGGAGTGCAGCCAGGTGCTCAGCCCTGAAGACTTCCTGAAACTTAGAGAATTTTGGAGAAAGAAGGAAACATAGGACACATGTCAACCGAACGATTTCTCATTAGAGATGATGAGGCAGATCCAGAGCAGGGCAGGTCACGGTTTGTGGCTGGGCTCTGCCAGACCCCGAGTCTCCAGGCTCTTAGGCCAGAGGACTCTGAAGTTCTCAGTGCTGGCCAGGGACCTGCCTCTCTTCCTTCCAGGCCTGTGAGGGTGACGGAAAGACCACAGGAAGAGCAATGATTCCGAGGGTGGGGAAAGATGTAATAGCCTTTACAGAGTGGACTAGGCAGCTTTCATTATTCTCTCTCTGGGAGTTAGTAGGTCATTTGCAAAAGGCATGGGAAGAGCAGCTGATGAAAAGGTCTAATAGTTTGGAAAACTGCTTAACCTTACGGCTCTATTTCTGGATTTCCACCAGGGCCAAGGACTGTTAAGATCCTGATTTCCCTCAGAGGTTTTCCTGTTTAGGAATGCAGTGAAACCTCTGAAATGCAATTGAATTGGGGAGAAGGCTAGCTGGGATCAGGGAACAGTCTGAATACTTTTTAAAAACATTCAGGTCTGTTGTTTTCAAAGACATAGAATCACAGATTTGGAAGGAGCTTAGTCCAGCTCCTGCTCAGTGCAGAGCTCTGTGTGCTTCATCCTGCACAGAACTTCATCCGGGCTTCCTTGAATGCTCCCAATGACAGGAGGCTCACTACTCTGTTAGATAACCTCTTTCACTCTTAGAAAAGTCTTCCTTTGCTTGAGCTGAAATCTACCTTCCTATGAGGTTCTGCTCGCCTTCTAGTTTTCATACAGAAATGATAAGCCCTCTTCCTCCAATGGTTCTAAAATGGCTAAAGGCAGTTATCATGCACCAAATAGTCCTTTTCTGCAAGTTGACCATCACCAAGATATTCCATCGTTTATATGACAAATGTCATCAACTCTAATTAGAAATATAAACTGCTGTTTCTACTTAGCCTGTCTTCCTCTCCCTCTCCCTCTCTACCTATCTACCTTCAGAGAGCTTAGAGACCACCTACCTGCACTGCCCCGTATTTTATAGCTCTAGCCCTCCTTTCACCTCACCCTGCCTGCTATTATTCATAAGACACCCATACTTCGCAAGTTCTTGAAAGTGCTTGGGAAGTTTGTTCTCTTAGGTATGTCAAAAATCCCTCCTTCACATTATATTTGCACTGTCGGTGAAGTAGGTACTAGAACAGAGCTGAATTTAGTAGATGTTATGCTGTCAATGAAAAGTCTCATTCAAAGTGCTTTGACCCTCCTTGCTCTTCGCTGTCTGTCCAAAGACCATCTACCCTCCTTGCCTAGAGTGGTAGTTCGATCTGGACGGCACACCTACGGGCCACGGGGGCCCCCCACATTTTCCTTAAGGTTCAGTTAACCGCTCGATTTAGGAGACCCTGCTAGCTCTGAAACCCGACATTTGTTTCTGCTTTCCCCTGTGCTTATTTAAGGCTTTCGCATCCTCTTTTCAGTGTGGACTGATTTTCTGAAAAGAAAAATCAAAGACTCAGGAGAGCAAACCAGGCATTTTAGCGACTGGTTTCCTGTCCCCAGTCCCCAGCAACCGTGCAGTCACATGCTTTGGAGGGAACATTCCTCCGTGCCCCAAACCACAGCACTCTCCCTCTTCTCTCAACAAGGCAGTGCATGTCCGGTTCTTACGCGTGTTCTGGCGCCGACCAGAAGCTGCCTCCAGCTGCTTCCTGGTTTGTGTGTGTGCTAGGTAGGCCCCGTGGGTGCTGGGCTCGCAGGGACCTGCGTTCCAGTCCCGACTCTGCAGCTGGACAGGTGTGTGGCTCTGGAAAGTTACTTAAGCTTTCTAAGCCTCCGTTTTCACGGGTGTTAGATGAGGACAACTATGCTACCTACATCAGAAGGCTTTCAAGATGACGTAACGCCTACACGGTGCCTAGCATAGTCCTTAACATTCAGTTAAGACTCTGTACAGAGGATCTGTTTAATATTAGTAATACGATGCTACTGAAGGCAGAGACTGAAGCCTATATTTCTCATACTGCACACAGTAGGTGCTCTGTAACTACCTCCCAACTGGTTCTGGTCTAGGTTTCTTTTGGCAGTAGGTTCATCAGAAACATTATAAGCATCTCGTAATGACAGTTCCTATTTCCAACTCCTTTTTCCCAGATTTCTCCCCACAGTAATGATCTTGGGGTGGCAGGTACCCGCCCTGCCCTGCCACTTTACACACCTGTCCACTTGCATCTCAGGATAAGGTTCCCATTTGACAGGCTCTGAGAACTTGCTGCCCAGGCAAAGAAAACTTTAGGAGGAGGAGGCCAACATAAACCTTATGTAACCAACCTGTTGGCAAACAGGGGAACAAGGGGAAACTGACAGATTCCTGTCCCCAAAAAGAAACAAAGCAAAACAAAAGGAGGTACAAAGCAAGGGACTGACACGTGCCTAAAATACTTCTGCTCGCCAAGATCCTTAACACAAGATCAAAGTTCTTAAAGTATTCCTGAAGGGACAAGCATGGGGCTGAATTCCCTTTTACCTGGGAATCCGAATTGACATTCATAGCTGAACTTGTAACTGAAATTACATCAGATGCCCCTCCAACTTATATGTATGGAGTATATGTATGTATATATACGTATACACAAATACATTTTATTAACAATATTTATTGTCCATGGGATTTACCAATGAGGACAGAAAAGTTTCCAACTTTTTTTTCTTTTAAATAAGGCTATGGGAAATTTCTACCTCAAGTGGCTTGAACCCTCAGTGGGTCATAAAGAGTTAAGGATCCCCCAGCTGCCTGAATTGCTGAAGATTTATATCCTCGGAGATAGGCTCTGTGGACTCTTACTGAGTAAAAGAACATTCTTTTTCTTGTCCTTTTAGCAGATTATTTGTTTATTGTCTGAATTTTGTGTTAAAAACCCAGAAAGCAATACAGACATCCACTGAAGCAAATTTGTTTGTGTGGCACCCCCAGGTCAAAGCCCCCACAGTTGAGGGTGAGGGCAGAATTCAACAAGCATGTGGTGGAGAGAGTGCACCGGTGCCCGGACTGCCTGCCAGCGGGTTCCCCGGTGGCAGTCCCATCCCTGACACCCTTGGCTTCTTACCTTGGGCAGGTCATTCCCCTTTGCAAGCTTTTGGTCTTTTCTGACGGCAAATGCTGCCTTTGGGCTCTTCCAAGCCCGAGATCTTGTGAGGCTACGAGGAGTGGGGGCGGGGGATGAGCTGGAGAAGCTCCCTGCGTCTCTGGGTGCGGGGCCCAGAGAAGAGGGAGAGTGTGGTAACAGCGACGAAAGCCCTCAGAGAAAAACTAAAAGTGCTGAATGGCAGACCCTCTCCAACTCTCCATGGCACGTCCCAAAATCATGGGCACCTAACACTCTTCCGAGAGCTCAGAGCTCACCAAGACACCCATCACTGGGCTGACAGGAAGCAGAAGGGGCCAACGCTTTTCTGGTTGGGGACTGTGGCTGGGACAGAAGGGAAGAGAAAAGTGGAGTCAGCTTCATGAGCCAGTGAAATGGCAATGAACCCTGCAGGCTGATCTCCAGCCTGGCGTTGCCAAGGAGGACGATCCAGCCGGTCAGACCTGCGCCAAGCTCTGGCTCAGACACACAGGCCAAAATAGAAAGGGGGTGAGGGAAGAAATGTGTTTACTTTTGTGATTTTCCCTCATGTGCCTTCTTCACAGCATTATCTCTCCACAAACCGGCAGTAACTGCTCTCAGGTCTGGCTCCCATTGATAAAGCCTCCCCAACAATTCACGGTGGCATCTGCGCCGCTGGAAAGGGAGTTTGGAAGGCAGCAGACAGAGTGAAAAGGGCACTGGCCTGGGCTCTATCACTCACCGGGGAACTGCGAGATGTCCCCTGTGGCTGCACAAAATAAAGGGCTTACCTCAGACAGAATCTCAAAATTTGTTTAGGCTTTCTGACTTACGTCTGTGGTTGTCAGCCAGGGGCGATTTAACCCTTCAAGGGGTATTGGCAATGTCTGGAGACACTTTTGGTTGTCACAACTCAGGGGGTGCTACTGCCATCTCATGAGTAGAGGCCAAGGATGGTGCTGAACATCTGACAATGTATAGGACAGACCCCGCCACAGAGAATTATCTCAGGTGGAGAAATCTTGGTTTATATTAAAGTGAGGAGAGTCAAAGGGAGAGGGAAGAGGGACAGAAGCAAAAAAGGAGGAGGAGTTAAACGCTGTTTCTAGGTCATGGGGTATCCATCAGTTAAGCGTCTTCCAAAGTCCTTTCCGTTTCCCTTGGAATTACAGGGTGAAGTTTGGTAGTTTTTTTTTTTTTTATAAGAACTTCTGTCTTATTCTTCAAATGCCAAGCCCTGGTGCAGCGCAAAGATCCCCACTATAGGACACAGCAGAGACAGAAATGTAAGCAGCCATTCAGCAAGTAAAACTAGAAGGTGGGTGGCCGGGGTGCAGGGAGGGACACAAGAGATGCTCCTAAGTCCATTTCTATGAGTCAGTGTTTCTGATGTAACAACACAGAATAATCACCGTAGGACCGGCGAGACGGGCTAGGCTGGGAGCGGGCAGAACTGACCCGGGGCCCTCGTGTCAGGAGAGGCACGGGTTGTAGGCGACAAATTCCAAAGCAAATGAAAGGGTTAAACAATCGGGGCATGTCATTTCTGTGCCAGTCCACATTAAGTCACCGGGCAGTTATTACAAATAGTTACCTGTGGTTTCCAGGGGGGGAAGCAAGCATACTCCAGTCAAGGGGTTTTGGAGAAACAGGTGCAATGAAGTCATGGTCAAACAATTTATTTACTGTAAACTTTAGACTTTGCTCAGGAAAACAACTGAAGTTCCCCCTCAAATCTCTGCCTACAACACCCTGTTTTAGCAAATAAGAGGAACAGGGAGAGACCATGTTCACAGCTGTAAGGTCCAAGACACTCCGGATCCTCCATTCCAAGGGTGCAAGAAGGAAGGTCTCCTTCAGATACAAATTACCAGCAGCAATATATTACACCTAATACTTGACCAATGAGGTAGATACACAGAAAGTCATCAAAACATAGCAGCCCCAGGTCCTCTGGGACTGAAGCCCTTCAGACAGAAACTTACAAGTTCCATGCAAAGAGGAACTGAACTGTACAAGAAACAATCACTCAAATACATTTTCTCTTTTTTTACAGCTTAAAAAAATAAAAAAGGGGCAGAAGGATGTTCTTCCTCCTGCACATCTCTATACAATTTTATTCTAAATTTATTACACTCAAGTTAAATAGTCTGTTTAGTGTCTTTTTTTAGGGGGGGGGGTCTTAAAAAGTAGAAAAACCACATCAGAGCAGTGAGTCATTTGTACTAGAATTCCTCCCTTCTGAATCAACACTATCATTATGCACAGTACCTTGACGGTTCACAAAATCTTCCCTGCCCGAGGCATCCTCACACAGCAGTTTGTTGTCTTTCTCCTGTCCCAGGTGACAGCCACTCTGCTCCCCTGTGTAGTCAGACTTGTCATTGCTATTGCTGGAGTAGCCATTCCCATAGGCCTTCAGAGAAGACCTGCGCAGGCACAGAAGCTCCTGGAAGGCAATCCTGAAATCCGGGCTCCGGCAGTAGATAAGGGGATTGAAGGCAGAGTTGACGTAGCCCACCCAGTTCAGGAGGATGTAAACTTCCTTAGGGATGAGGTTATCCTGGATCACGTGCACAATGTTGACGATGAAAAAGGGCAGCCAGCAGAGGGTGAAAGTGCCCATGATGATGCCTAAAGTCTTGAGAGCTTTGTGTTCCTTCAAGTAGAACTTGGAGGACCTGCGATGTCCATGCCAGCTCCTCCCATCCTGCTCCACTTGGCTGAGGTTTTGGGCATGGAAGCGGCCCTCGGATTTGTCAATCTTCTGGAGTTGTCTTTTGGCCACCTGGAAGACCCTGGAGTAGACAAAGATCATGACCACCAGGGGCAGGTAGAAGGAAACGATGGAGGAGGCAATGGCATAAGCTTGGTTCGTGAAGAAGTCACAGCAGGTCTCTTGGGCATAGCACTTGATGGCTTCTTGGTGAGTGGCCCGGTACCAGTGCATCTGGATGGGCAAGAAGGAGGTAAGGCCTGACACGATCCACACCATCAAAATGACCACCCGGGCCTTATTCTTGGTCAGCAGGCTCTGGTACTTGAAGGGTGACGTGATGGCAAAGTAGCGATCCACTGCAATCACGCACAGGGTCTCAATGCTGGCCGTGACGCACAGCACGTCAATGGAAGTCCAAAACTCGCACCAGAAATTGCCAAAAGTCCACATTTTCATGAGAATGTGGCTGGCCCCAAAGGGCACCACCGCCAGGCCCATGACCAGGTCAGCACAGGCCAGGGAGGTGATGAAGTAGTTGGTGACCGTCTGCAGACGCTCGAACTTGGCAATGGCTGTGATGACCAGCACGTTTCCAAACACGATAGCCAGGACGATGAGCGACATGACGATGGCCATGCCCACCACCCACGCCTCGTCCCGTTCCTGCGCAATGCCTTGGTCCGGCGCATGGCTTCCGTTGGGCGCCAGCAAAAAGTCGGTGCCGTTCCCGGGTTGCCCCATGGCGCGCAGGCTGGCAGGTGAACGCACGGGCTGCCGGCGCACTGGCCGCGCCTCAGAGGGCGGACCTCCGGCGGGGCGCTGCGGGCAGCGAGGGGATGCCTGGAAGCCTCATTCAGCGGCCGTGGAGTGGGTGTGGTGGGGGCGCGTCCTGCACTCAGCTTGTGGGGTGCTCTGGGCTCGCGGTATCCCTCAGTCCCAGCCTGCAACCTGGAGCAGCCGCCTCGGAGTGCGCGCTGCCCGTTATGTGCACAGGACTTTAGAGGAACTGCCTCCCTGGTGACGTGCGGGAACTTTCCGCCAATGGCGCACTGGCAGCCCCAAAGGGACGAGGGCCCCCCCTCCCCTTCTAGCCCCTCCCCTCCCCTCTCCCGCCCCCTCCTGGGGCTGGCCCGGGCGGGGCCCCGGCTGGCTCCGGAGGGCTGGAGCTGGGGCTGAAGTGCTTACCAGCCAACCCGGGAGCTTTGGGCTCCTCTGTGGCTGCTACCTGCCTGCCCTGGGCGCCTGTGCGGCCTGAGGTCTCAGGGCAGAGGGCGGCAAGCAGGCACTGCCCCACATTCGGAAACAGAGACGGGTGCCCACGGATACACGCACAGACAGGCACACATGCACCCCGACAGACATGCTCAGGCTTATACGGAAACACAGCCATCGACACTGAGACACACCCGCCCAGCACACCGACAAACACCCTGGCTCTCGCGCACGGAGGCTGACAGGCGCAAAGTCACCCTGGCCCAACACAGAGATAAACACAGCAGCACCCAGAAACGGAGAGGCACGGGCGCACACAGAAAGAAGTAAGCACACAATGCTCACTTGGAGGCAAGCAGAGCGTCCCATCTCGGTCCTCCAAACCCCTCACCCATGCGCCCCGGCCTTCCCCCGCCTGTCCCCCCTATACACATATAGGGACACAGACATATTCCCTTTCAAACATTTGGCAAGACCACAGGAGGTGACTTCAACAGCTGCTGATTTCCTCAGAACGCTCTCTGTCTAGCGCTTTTAGTGCCCTCCTTGGAAATTTGCAGGCATTGAGACATACAATTTCACCCTTTGGGTTTCATTTGGAGCTGGGGTATATTATGTGCATGGTATGTGTTTTGGAACGGAAAGAGAAAGTTGTATGCTTTAATTTTTAATTCTCTGGAGTGTGGCATCACTCCCTCATTTTTTCTGTTGGAATGAAAATGTGCTGAAAATGGAATTGTTTTCCTTTCAATCTCAACTTCTTTAGTAATCCTGTTACAACCAGAAAAATCCTTTCCTTCATCTGCAGTAAGTTTGCTGACCTGTTGGGTGGAGCCATTTGAATGTGCCGCTATTCTGTGGCTTCTGACGTTGAGAAATGACAATTTCATATGGCTCAGATTATTACAAGTGTTAGCATTAAGGACATTTTAAAGCCACAAAAAGCAAAAGATAATTTCCCCTTAAAAACAAAAAAAACAAACAAACAAAACAGACCGAGCCTTCTAACTAGGGTCTTTGTCTATAAAATACTACCCTTTGCATCTGGCACATGACTTTACTTTTAAAAAAAACTCATTTTCAAGGTTTGACTTCACATGCCTTTCAGTGCCTTTGAAAAACTGAAAGAATTTCATGCCATGTAACCAACATACTTCGTTAATTACATAATAACATAACAATGGCTAACATGTATGGAACATTCTACTATGTGCTTTTCATGCATTAGTCTATTTAATTCTTCCCACAGTCCCATGGTGTGTACATGTGAGGGGGTGAGGCTATTTTTAGCTTAATTCACAAATGGAGCTCAAAGAGAAACATAGCTGGCCCAGGGGCCCAGGACCAGGGAATGCCAGAGGCGGAGGCTGAACCCAGGTCTGCCTGAATCTAAAACCCACCTTTTAATTTATTCAATGTTCTGTGTCATCACATGCAGAAAGGGATGGGATATAGGGAAGAAGCACTACAACTGGAATCGGAATACCCAGGTTCCAGATCCCCAAATCTTAGAACGTCCTAGCTCAGTCCCCGCTGGCAAATCAAAAAGATGGGGCCTATTTTCTCCATCTCTAAACGGGGAATAAAGTCACTTCCATTGGGCTGAGTGAGACTCTAATGATATAATAAAGGTGAAAATGCTTTCACTCATATAAATGCCACACGAATGTGGGTTATAAATACTACACAAATATGGACGATAAATATAATTTATATAGGTTACTTAGCAGTTCAGAAGATGTTGTTAGTCTTCTCTAGTAGAACAATAATATACTTTACTCTGGAAGCAAAGCCTGGAAGCAAACCCACAAATAAAATTTAACTTACATGCCCCCTTTTACTTCCTTCATGAGCAGAAATGGATTTTGCAAGACAGATGCCTTAAAAAACAAATAGTTCCCATAAAAACCACAACTATTAATTAAGGATCTATTATATTCACATAGTTTTCAAAATATACCCACCTCATATTTGTGTTTTCCAAAATTGGATCTGGTATGATGCATTTTAGGAAGAGGCCCTGTCTGTTATGCAACAATGTTTCTTTAAATATACATCTACCCTGAATTGTGGAACTAAGTCATTTAAAACCTCCTTCCTGTTTGTGAAGCTATGGAATAAATAAGCATGTTGTTCAACATCCCCATAACAAAAAAAGAACAAAGAAAGTCCTTTTAGGACAAGCCCTAAGTGATCATCTAGATATATACATAAGTCACTTAAAAATTTAACTTTGGATATTTTGGGAAACACCTTTTAAAAAATCCACCAACACTAAAACCAAGAGGGGAAGACTGCTTATGCCAACGAGGAAGCTCCAGGCCTTTGCCCACCAGCCTTGCCAAGTGGACAATTTGTCTGTCTGTCTGTCTCTCCCCCTCTCCCTTCCTCTCTGCCCCTCTTCCTCTCTCCCCACCATCACCAAATCGCTAGGAATTTCAAGATGTCTTCACGCCAAGGCCAAGAATCTTCTCCTGGCGTGTTTTTTAATTACAGGATTAGAGAGAGTTAGAATGGGAAAGAGTTTTACTAGACCATTTAGCTTATTCCCCTCATTCCAGTTTGCACATGAGGAAACTGAAGTGCAGAAAGAAGTGTCCCGCTGAAGGTGGCAGGGAAGATTAGGGGTCCAGGTCTGCTCCTAGCAGCCTGTGCTTTGACTGCCCAGCGCTGTTCTGTCATTCCCCAGCAGAGGAGTGTCGCTGGCGCTGCTCACTGGGCTTGTGGCCTCAGAGAGTTAATGCTCAGTTGAACTAAAAACTTCTTAGTAGACTAAATACGCCTTTATCTGATGTAAGAAAAAGCAGGCTCTTTTTATGGTGATTGATAGTGTCTAATTACATATTTTGTCAATCCCTTAAGACATTGATTTGTCATTTCCTGCTTGCCAAACAGGAAAAAAAAAAAAAACAACCCACGTTTTGATTTACCGAGTGAATGTTTGAATAGGCATAAGGCTCCGTGGTGCCAGAGAATGCTCTCACATCAATGGCTGGACAGCTTAGGAAAGTCTTATCCTGGTTGTGGTTTAGACAAGATTCCTTCCATCTTTATGACCCTCCGAGCAGAGAAACATTTGTAAACTTCTCTCTAAATGACGGTCTTAAGTGTTTGTCTTTAATATTATCTCCGTACAGTTGCATCTCATGAAATTTGCATTAAATAAGATGTAATGCATGTAAAACACTTAGCATACTGCCTTGGAAAAGAGATAGCTATTACTGTTACTGTCTTCTCTTCGAATCAAAATGCATACATAGAATGCCTATTTGTCTTTTTATATCATATTGTGAAAGGACACTTTGAACGTGGGTAATGAGTAATTTATTTTAAATCTGAATTGCTGTGAAAAAGGATGGAAAGGGGGAAAATTGGTTCCTTAGAGAGAAGAAGAATAATGAAAACCACCATTATCATGAAGTGATAGGGCTGGGTGGGATGTCAGTGGTTTTCGAACGAAGCACCTCACAGCCTAGTCAGCTCCTTACCCAGTGCACCCACCAAACTCTTAGACAGCCATCTCTAGCGCAGCCAGGCTCACGAGCTCTTGTCAGTGTATGTTTCTCCAGCCATGCAGACAGTGACCTGAAATCCATCTTCTCAGAGCATCTACCCATAATCTTAAGTCTGCCCCCTTGAGGCCACTCAAAACAAATCTCTGCCGTCTTCGCCAAGACTGTCCTTTAAACTTTTGGGATCATTCCCTTAGAGTTCTCCTGAGCTCTCTCTTCTTCAGATTAAATGTTCCTTGTTCCCTTGGGTCTAGAGTCTCCTCTACCGTCATGGCAGGTCTCTAACATTCATTCTTGGGTTTGTCAATGTCTAACCTTACCCTCAATACCTGGAATGATTCTAGAACGAGTCATGCGATGATCAATTTGCAATCACCTTGGCAACCATAAAGTCAGCAGAGCAACCAGGAAATCTTTCAGAACAGCTGATTATACCAGATGGATTTAATTTCCTGCTATGCTAGCGTTTTATGAGAGACATGCTAATAAATTCTCCACATCTCAGGGGGACTGAACAAAGGGAGGTGGTATTAAATTAAAGCAGGAGAGACTTTAGTTGGTCATAGGAAGGACTCATTGGCCCGAGGAGATTCAATCATTCAAAGGGGCTAGTAGCTTTTCTCAGTTGGGTTTTTGCACAAGAATTAAACCCTACAGAAAATCATTTCAGTGGCTATTCTTCCCAAAGATGGTACATAGCTATTCCCCTACTAGGGACCTAGAGAGAGATGAAGTCATTCCATACAATGTAATGTATGTCTTAGGGCAAGGGATCTCCAGACAGGAGAATGGTGTGTCTTGATGAACGCTTCTTTTAATGGAAGCATTTGGTGCAGAGGAGAGAGCAGGGATGGCGATGTGCAGAACTAGGTACAGGTCCCAAACAACTATCATTTTATGTCATATAAAACTTTAAAGAAGCCACCTTCTTGTTTTGAGCCTCAATCATCATTCATGCAATGGGAGTCAGAGTCCGGGCTAGGTGATACCCAAGGGCCTTCCTGTTCCAGCCTGAACAAGCCTGCGGTATGACGGAAGGCCCTTGAGGGCCATCGAGTAGATGAGTTCCTGACTCTGAAGAGCCACTGAGGACTTGGCAAGCAAAAACCATCAATGTCCTACAAAACAGCTCGGCTATGGTTTTCTTTTCCCCCAAGTTCACCATTGTGATCCCTGCTAATATATTTCTTAACATTGACTTGCTTCTAAAACTCAAATACATTTATTTTTAAAGAAAATGTTG